GGACAGGATCAGGCCAAACGGGGCTGCTGGCGGCTCCTGGCATCCCCAACCCAGTGGGCATGGCTGCTGCCAGCAGCTGGGGCACAGGGAGAGATGCCCCGGGGCAGCAGCCGTGGGAAGGTGGGCAGCAGACCCCAAAGCCGGAGCTTGCACCCCATGACTGGTCAACCTTCTACACCAAAATGTTCCAGGAACGGACCAAAAAAAGGGGAACTGCACCCAGACCACACCATGGCGAGCCTTCCCCCTGTGCCCACGCACAGCAGGATGGGGCTGGGGGTGCCCCTGCCGTGGGGCTGTGGGTCTCAGCCCCCTCCTTCCCCCAGTGCAGAGCACAGCCGATGTCCGGGCTGGCTCTCACCTGTCTCTGATGGCTCGTACTTGTCGATGAGTTCCATGGCCAGCTCCTCTGTGCCCTCATCCTCCAGCTGCTCCTGCCGCAGGAAATCCACCAGCTCCAGCAGCGTCAGCTTCTTCCCATCCTCGGAGAAGTCCTGGAAGAGGCTCAGCACCTCCTCACGTTGCGTGAGGGCCTTGTAGAAGAGCACGAACTCCTCCCCTTCCAGTGTCCCTGACTCCGACTTGTCAGCAGCCTGCAAGGGAGTTCACTCAGCACCCAGCCAGGGCAAAATGAGGTGTCCTGGCCACCCCATGGGCTGTGGGGGGATTCACCCACCCCCGACGGAGGGCACAGAGACTCCATGCCAGCGGCAGTGGTAGGCATCGATCAATGCGTGAATGATGGATGGATTGGCAGATGGGGAACTGGTTGGGTTGACTGATAGATGGATGGGTCTATGAATGGAGAGATGGACAAACAGGTGGAGGGACGGATGGATGGATGGCTACATGAATGGATGGATGGATGGATGGATGGACGGATGGACAGCTGGCTGGCTGGTTGGGTTGATGGATAAATAAACAGGTGGACAGATAAGCAGCTGGGTGGACAAATGAAAGGGAGGGAGCAACAGCTGCTTTGGCTGGTTGGGTTGACAGATAAATGAACAAATGGGTGTTTGTCTGGGTAAACAAGTAGTTGGGTGAACAAATAAATGGATGGATGGGTGGATGGATGGATGGATGGATGGACGGACAGAAGAAAGTGACCACATCCTTCTGCAGGGGGGTGTTGTGCAGCTTGTTCCAGCCCCTTCCCAGCCCCTCCAGGCCCTCAGGTGTGGTGCTTACCTGGAAGAGACGCAAGGCATGATCCTCATTCATGTCCACGTTCATCATCTTGAGGAGACGCTGCACCTCCTTGAAGTTCATGCGCCCATCCTTATTCTTGTCGGCTTTCTGAAACCAGTCACGAATCCACGTGCGAGAAACCAGATGTTAAGGGAAAGGACGTTGGCTAAGAGAGATGGAGCTGGGGAGCATCAGAGGGCCTCTTTTCCTTTTTGTGTGGGCTCTCCCTGCCCTGATGCAGATGGTGAGACCCAGAAGAGCTAAGCACATGCTGAGGCAAGGCAGGAGATGGGGGAAGGACTGGGTGTGGAGGGCAGAGTGGTGCCCACAGAAAGGATATTGGTCTATCTTCTCCCTTTGGTCCATGCTGGTGGCCACCTCGATGAGCTGGCGCAAGCCCTGGACCCAGCATTGCGCCTCCTCTGCTGAGCTGGCAATGAGGTCCAGGTTGCCCCGGCGGCCATAGAAGACAATGGTGAAGCAGCGCTCGGGGGGGAACTCCTCGGCCAGGCTCTGCAGCACCTCTGACTGATGCCCTTCTCGCACCGTCTCCACATCGCTGATGGAGACTGGGGCAGAGGGAGGGGAGGCCTGTCTATGGGGGACAAGGACCGCAGGGCAGGGGGAACTGCCCACAGACATCTGTCCTTCCAGCCATCCCTTCTTCCACTCATCCATCCATCCATCCACCCACTGAGCTACTCATCCATCCATCAGAAACCTGAGCTACCCATCCATCCATCCATCCATCCGCCCGTCCGTCCATCCATCCATTGAGCTACTCATCCATCTACACCTCTGTCTGCCTACTCCTCCGCTGGCACGCCAGAGCTTCCACTTTTATCAGCTGCAATTTCCACTAAGCCTTTGTGACCCATGGGTCCTGCTGGGGGGCAGGAGGCTTCATGGAGACGTGTGGGTGAGAAGAGCCCACACACGCACACAGAGCCTCTCTTGAATGCCCCAGCCCCCTTTGCAAGCATGGCTCCAAGAATCTCCACACATTCACACTCCTGTTCACTCTGAACCCTACTGATGGCCCCATGGACAACACACAGCAGCCGGTACTCACAGGCAGACTCAATTTTGCCCATCCTCTTGGACTGGTACCAGATGGTCATGCAGTCATCCTGCAGCTTGAAGTAACGCTGCTTCTTCCAGCTCTTGGACTTGACTTTGCGCATCAGCGTCCCTTGCTGCATCTGCTCCAGCGTGTCTGTGAGCTGGATTCCTGGGGGCAGCGTGGGCTGCATCACCAAGGGTGGGGGTATCCGGGCACTGCGTCCTGCTACTTTGCTCCCTCCCATCCCTGGGACCCCCATGTGGTCCCTCGATTTGGGATGGAGGAGGGACGGACCCCAAACAAACTCCCTTCACCACAAGAAGGGCAGAAGGTAATTCCCCGTTGACCCTTCCCACCTGCCCTCGGCGTTGCCAAGCCCGATTCCAACAGCCACGGTGGGGTAGGGATGCTCCCGAGTGAGCTCAACCCACGGGCCAGACCTGCCCCAGCGTAAATCCAGATGGCCTGGTGCCCTGCCCCACGCCTCCCCTCCACCGGAGCACTCACGGGCGTTGCACAGCAGCGATGCCATGGCTCTGCCTCCTCCACGCTGGCGGCCGCTGGGGAGGGAAGAGAGAGGGCAGC